TTTAGTTTATATTTTATACTATGCTTAGATTGTTTTGCTTATTTAACAGAATAATCACGAACACTTATTTTAAAAGTTTCCCATTTTAAAATTGGATTTAACGATTTATCAATATTTAATTTATTTAATGTATGTACAATACCGTGTTTAAAATCATCATTTTCAAGGTGGGATACATTCAAATTCCAGTAATCTGCACCTCTTTCTAGTTTGCTAAGATTCTAAAGTACATTTAAGATATCTGTGGTCACTTAACCGTATGCTATCATTATGAGTACCTGGTATTCGTCTAACAATGATATTTCTACAAGTTCTATAAAGTTTTTATTTACAAAATATAATCTATCCTCCTCTTTGGACAATTTTCTGCATCGCACCATGTATAATCATTGTTAGCAGGAGTTTTATTAAGCCATAAATCAGCTAAGCCTAACTTACATTACATGTAATTACTATTTTACTTAATTTTTTTAATTGGATTTGTCATTTTCTTTGTTAAAAACAGCCGAAATATAACTAAAATATGTTGACTCGGCGTAAAACAACAATAATCGATCAATCTTTGTTAAAATTGCACTTGAATTCACCTCCTATTATGATTGTACTATCTTGCGCAAAAAAAGAAGAAATAAATGTGTTGAGAGTGTTTAAGAAGGCAAACTTATCTGGCTCTTTATTAGGTGCATATATATATATATATATATATATATATATATATATATATATATATATATATATATATATATATATATATATATATATATATACACGTTAATGATTGTAAATAAATTATCGTCTATCTTTGCATTGACAATGATCTTGCTTCCATCATTAAACTTATGTACATTTAAAATATCTAATTTACATTCTCTGTTAAAAAATATGGAAACACCTCTACTAAAAAGAGAATCTGAGAATGCATGCACTATTTTCCCGTTCCATTTTCCACACGTTTTTTAATAAAATGGGTTTCTTCTAAAAGTGTTATATCTAGTTCACTCTCTTCTAACCATGACCGTTCACAGTAGCTCAGTTGGTAGAGCGCTCGCTTCGTGACCGGGAGGTCGTGAGTTCGAATCTCGGCCGCGACTGACCTAAGTCGATAAAAAATGGGTAGCAACTGTTCCTTTGCCATGCGCTCGGCACTTTGAAGTGAAAGTTGCGGGTCCTTCGGATGAGGCCTTAAAAACCGAGACCCCGTGCCACGGCAGGCGTTGGCACGATAAAGATCCCTCAATGCTCAATGGCCCTGAGTGCCGAGTAAAGGTCAAAATTTGAAGCCCTTCACCGGTATATGGTGACGTCTCTATATGAGTGAAAAATTCTCGAATGGGACGTAAAACAACATACAATCAATCAATCAATCATCTTCTAACCATGTAAAAATTATCTCTTTTTTTCAGACAAATTAAGACCTCTCACATTTATGGAAAATTAACTTTAATTATTCATTTGTCACGTAATCTGTAGATATAACTCTATGATAATGTCAAACATTTAGAAAAAAAAAGAAGAAAAAATAAAAATTGCTAATTAAAGTCTGAGTAAGTAAAACAATAATATACCAATTTATGACCGGCATTTTTAAAGTATACCATTTTTTGGTTTGTTAATGAATATATTACACAGCACAAACCACATTTCTTAAAATGCCGCATCAGGATGACCGGAGAAAATACAGTTACTTTTCATCCTCGGAACTCACAGAGTCAGGAGACCGTCACGGTAGCTCAGTCGGTAGAGCGCTCGCTCCGTGATCGAATCACGCCCGCGACTGACCTAAGTCGATAAAAAATAGGTGCAACTGCTCCTTCGCCAAGCGCTCGGCACTTTGAAATGAAAGTTGCGGGTCTTTCGGATGAGACTTTAAAAACCGAGGCCCCGTGTCACGGTAGGCGTTGGCACGATAAAGAACCCTCACTGCTCAATGGCCCTGAGTGCCGATCAAAGATCTAAATTTGAAGCCCTTCACCGGAATATGGTGACGTCTCTGTATGTGTGAAAAATTTTCGAACGGGACGTAAAATAACATTCAATCAATCAATTACAGAGTCAGGATTACAACCCGATACACCACTGTCGGACATTTCTCTAAGTTGATGTAGCATTTACACTGTTTGTGTTGATTCGATTGTTCTTTTTTGTTTTCTTTCATTTTTTGAAGAATCACAGTTTTCTTTTTCGAATAATTCAGCTATTTTAGCAATTGTTTTTATACCCCCGCTCTGAAGGAGAGGGGGGTATACCGTTTTACCCTTGTGTGTCCGTGTGTCTGTCCGTAACAAATTTTCGTCGCAGTTTTCTCAGCAAGTACTCATCACGGATACTGGAAATTTTAGCACAATCTTTGTTTAGACATGCCATATGGTGGGATTCATTTTTATTCAAATCCGATGTCAACTTCCTGTTTATCCGTTCTTCTGTCCATAACACAAATTTTCGTTGCAGTTTTCTCAGCAACTACTCATCACAGATGCTTGGAATTTTAGCACACTTTTTGTTTAGGCATGCCATTCGCTCACAGACTTCTTGTTTCATAAGGACACCAAGAGTGTTTTTTCCCGGCCAGCTTTCGGGTTTAGTGTTGCGCGTACCAATCACGGTCAAGCCTAAAGCCCCATTCGTTTTTCCACGTTGCTTCAACAAAAACTGTCGATTGCTTGGAGGTACACAATTATCACGGAAAACAGGTATCTGGACACATTTGTTTTCCAAGATCTCCTCTATAACACACACCTTAGTAGAATCCCACTGCTCGTTAGATTTTATTTTTTATCCAAGGCGTAGAGCAGAAAGGGCAACATCTGCATCCTTGACGGTATTGGCAGAATCTTTGTCACCACATTTACTGAAAGGCATGCTAAGCCGATTTGTTTTACACCAAAGATATCCAAATTGCAAGGGTAAAATTGGATAGAACAACCTCTGCTCCACAGAATGGGGTCAAATGCTTTTGTGGTTGGTAATGAGGGCATGCTTCATTCCCGAGGGAACGGCCAGGTTTTTTGCATACCTTAAAGCAGGTATCGAATGTACAATTAAAGCGAGTGTGATCGGTTTTCCAGCAACTTGCACACATAAGGTTTATGTCCTTCTTTGGTTGACCGTAGTGAAAAAAGTTTACACTAAATACCATCACAGTAATTAATTTTAGGTAGAAATTTTCCGTCTGGAAGAGTCTCAATATACATGAACCTGGTTCCATTAAGGATACTTGTCATCCGCTTTGTATCTGGGCGTCTACTTGCCAATTTGACATTCAGTTTGTCAAATACTGTAGTTCCTGTACAGAGTAGTCGGCCACAGAGAGGGGGAGACCACATATCCGATGTTTAAGAGGTTTTTTTGAGTTATTGGCGTAGCACCAGAGGTGTACGGGTTCCTATCATTAAACTGATAGGATACATTATTGGTATAAATACCCTTGATGAGGAGCTTAAGTCGGCAATCTGTACTTTTGAGATAAATTTTCCAAAGATTGCGGTCAAGTTACACGCAGAGTAGATCATTGCCGATTACTTGTTGTATAGAGTCTATAAGATCAAAGTCAGTGATCTTTTTAGAGGAACCTCGAAGGTCATTGTTTTTCAAGTATAACGGCTTTCAAGTTCTATCGACCGTGGAAGAGATTGAGTCGAAATCACTCTCAACCATCGCCAGGTGAACAAATACACAGTCAAACAAGTGAGATGAAATCAACAAACATATGTACTCGAAATCAAACTTTTTTATGCCCCCGGATCGAAAGTCTGTCTGTTGTAAACTTCAACCTAGCCCATAACTATTGCGCTGTCAAGGGTAAGATTTAATATTTGACATGAGTGTTCATTATGACAAGAGCTTTCCTTGGGTACCACCATATATAATCTTTAGAGCTTGACCTTGGAGTTTGACCCACTTTTGCAAAATTTTACCAAACTTTAACCTTGGCTATTACTTTTGAACGATTGGTGCTAGGAATTTCATACTTCACATGTGTAATCCTTGTAACAAGACCTTTCTTTGGATACCAACAACTTTGACCTTGGAGTTTGACATACTTTTGGAAAACTTTAACTTTGGCCATCACTTTTGAACGGTTGGTGCTAGGGCTTTCATACTTCAAATATGTATTCCTTTTGACAAGACCTTTCTTTGGATACCAGCTTTGACCCTTTGACCTTGACGTTTGACCTACTTTTGGAAAACTTTAATCTTGGCCATAACTTTTGAACGATTGGTGCTTTGGCTTTCATATTTCACCTGTGTATTTCTTGGGAGAATGTCTTTCCTTTGGCACCATTAATTTTGACCTTGACCTTGATGTTTGACATACTTTTGAAAAAACTTTAACCTTTTCCATATCTATTCAATGGTTGCTGCTAGGCCTTTCATATTTCACAGATTTATTCCTCGAGACAAGACCTTACTTTGGGTATCAACATATTTGATTTGCATTTGAGAAAGTTTAACCTTTGCTAAAAGTTGCCATACGGAGGCATCAGTGTTTCACAAACACATCATGTTTACAATGATTTTTACTGAAAAATCCCAAAGCCAAACTGTAGTGCGACTGCTACCCCAAGAGGGGAATAATAAAATACTCTGCTCCTGGGACAGTCGGGTTCGGGGTGACTGTCACTTGTCAAAGACTATTTACTATATCTAAAACACACAAAGAAAGACAAAGATAACAAAGATTTGATGGATGTTTATTTACAATGAATAAATATGAAAAACTGGTACCTCCAGTTGAACAAAGCGTAAGTGAGAAAAAAAATATATGATATGATTGAGAATGAAATTTTGAGGGGAAATATAGATGTTTGAACTTTATTAAGAATTTTACCTGGCTATTTAGTTGAATTTGGATCGGGCTCTGAATTCCTAATGTTTGTATTACATGTAACTATGGCGCGTAATGTGTTGATAAATTTTTGAGAGAAAAAAATAGTAAGTTATTGGGATGTGCCCTTAAAATTGATACCGAAATCGGTATGCAAGTGCTCGGAAACGGTAAGATGGTCTTATCCGTGGCTAATGTGCTTAGGGCAGTGGACGCAAAACTCGCAGTACATCGCGACTCTCGATACACGGCCTTACATAGTGTAAGTACACAAAGGAAATGGTCACCCAACCGTGAAACGTTAAATTACACCTTATTGGATAAAATAACAGATGATGAACCTATCAGATAACATGTAAGATAAAAGGTTACGGAATGAAAGGCAATATGAAGAAGTGTAAACAAAATGTACTTAAAAAGCATGAGGCAGGTAAACTATGGACTTTAAGAAAATATATACTATCTTTGTACTAAGTAGCTAACTTTATTTGATATTCTTAGGTTTAATAGTAATTGGAGGGCGTATTTAATGCAGAGATAAATTAATTAGATAAATATGAGTTTTACCACAAAACATTCACATACACTCATTAAACTCCCGAAAAGTAGATATTCCTCAAAAAGAAACTCGAATTCGGAAGAAAATGTCAAAAAACGCAGCGCGGGGTAAAGACACGTCTAGCTTCGTCTGTCACGCTACGGATCAAATTGACGTTGATCATTATGATTTTTATGATATTGACCATTCACAAAACTTTGGAACAATTTTTTTGAATTTGGCATGAATTACAATACCTAATAAATAAATGTACATGTAACTCGTACTTTCAGAGACTCGGTGGTGTATGAGGACTTGTAATAAAAAAAGAAGGGGCACAAAACATCAACGTCGTACATGCTGGTGTGATGTTTTATGTGAAACGAATGATGACTGTTGTCCAGGACTGGGTAACATATGCATCAGAGGTCAATATAAATGTTTATTTACACTGTATGTATAACCTGTTTTGACATCAGATTTAGAAGAAAATAAAAAGAAATACATAAATTGTTTCAGAACCATTAACCACAGAACCTACTACAGCGACTACTGAAGCTTCTTCAACGAGTATTGAACGCACGTCAATTACAGAACTTACTACAATTACTGAACCTACCACATCAACTGTTAATCTCTCCACAATAACTAATGAGCCTTCCACAACAATCTTCGAATACACAACTATAACTGATTTGAATACTTTAACCAATACTGAATCTACAAGTCCTGATCTTTCTATTGAATACACTCTAATTACTGGAACAACTACTAAATCTACAACAAGACCTGATCTTTCTACTGAATATACTATAACAAGTATTGAATATAACACAAAAAGTGCAAAACCTACTTCTTCATATATTGAACCTACAGTAACAATTGTTCGGCCTACTAAAACATTTTCTTCTTCGATAAAGGATACTGAATCCACAACAACAAATATTCAGGCAACGGCTACCACTTATCCAACAATAACCACTACTGACCAAAGTAAATTAACAGCACAACTAAGCACAGATTATCCTTACCTTACGACAACATCTACTGAATTAACTACGACGATCATTACATCATCTGTAAGAACAATCAAATCGACTACAACTGAACCTATAACAATTTATGAACCTATTATTCAATCAACAGAAGTTAGTGTTTCAGCATTTATTGAATCCATGCTATCAACTACCGAAATTGATATAATTACTACTGCACTTAAAACAATGCACCCGCAAACTATGACAACTCTTCAATCTACTGCTACAACAAGTAATGACTTGTCTGCTTCAGTCACAAACCCTACTCAAATCAGTACTGAATTAAATACTATCACTACTAAACTTTTAACAACGATTTCTGAATCTATAACAACTCTTCAATATCAATCAACAATTCAACAACCAACAATAACTACTGAAACTGTAAAAACAAGTAATCGACCTTCAATAACATTTATTCAGCTTCCCCAAACAACAATTTACCCTTTGATAACAACTTCTGAACCTACAATGATAAGGAAAACAACAACAAGCCAAGAAGCTGCAACTTCCCCAACAATAACGCCTAAAACAGGTATGATATTGACCATTGTAATTTTTATTATATTGAAAAATTCACAAACACTTTGATCAATACATAATAATAAACGTGCAAGTACACCACAATAATTAATCATGTACATGTACCTCGTACTTTCAGAGTCGTGGTGGTGTACGAAAACCTGTAATCAAAAAAGGAGGGATACGCAAAATGAACGCCATATATGTTCGTGTGATATTTTTTGTGAAAAGAACGGTGATTGTTGTCCAGGACTTGGGACCATATGTAAAAGAGGTAAAAATATACGATTTATTACACAATCTGTTCAATCTTTATTTTAAAACATTGGTTTTTATATCATTTTAAGAAGGTAATTTATACCATAATGCAGTTTAATGTAAACTATTAAATCGATCTATGCGATATTTTGACATCAGAAAAATAAAAGAATAAACTGTTTTAAGATTCAGCAGCTACAGAAAATATTACAGCAAACGTGGACACTTCAACTGTTTTTGAATCTAAACCAATTACAACTGAACCTACCACATCAACTGTAAATCTCCCTACAATAACTACGGAAACTGGACCTTCAACAACAATCCTCAAATATCCAACTATTACTGAATCAATTACTGCAACAACTACTAAATCCACAACAAGCCCTGATCTTACTTCTGAGTATACAATAACAAGTATTGAATTTAACACAAAAATTGCTGAACCTACTTCATCATATATTAAACCTACAATAACAATTTCACAACCCATTAAAACGGAAATGATTTCTTCTAAAGGACCTACTGAATCTACTCCAACAAATATTCAGGCAACAACTACATTTTATCCTACAGTAACCACTGCGGAACAAAGTCAATTAACAACACTGCTAAGCACAGATTCTACTTACCCTACGACAACATCTACTGAATTAACTACGACGATTATTACATCTTCTGTAAGAACAATGGAATCGACTACAACTGAACCTATTACAACTTTTGAACCTATTATTAAACCAACAGAAGTTAGTGTTTCAACATTCATTGAATCCATGCTATCAACTACCGAAGTTGATACATTCACTGTTGTACCTAAAACAATGCAGCCAGAAACTGTGCCAACAACTCTTCAATCTACGTCTACAGCAAGTAATGAATTGTCTGCATCATTCACAGACCCTACTCAAATCAGGACTGAATTTAATACTTTCACTACTAAACTTTTAACAACAATTTCTGAATCTATAACAACTCTTCAATATCAATCAACAATTCAACAGTCAACAATAACGACTGAAACTATAACAACAAGCAATCGACCTTCAATGACATTTACTCAGAGTTCCCAAACAACAATTTACCCTTTGATAACAACTTCTGAACCTACAATGATAAGGAAAACAACAACAAGCCAAGAAGCTGCAACTTCCCCAACAATAACGCCTAAAACAGGTATGATATTGACCATTGTAATTTTTATTATATTGAAAAATTCACAAACACTTTGATCAATACATAATAATAAACGTGCAAGTACACCACAATAGTTAATCATGTACATGTACCTCGTACCTTCAGAGTCGTGGTGGTGTACGAAAACCTGTAATCAAAAAAGGAGGGATACGCAAAATGAACGCCATATATGTTCGTGTGATATTTTTTGTGAAAAGAACGGTGATTGTTGTCCAGGACTTGGGACCATATGTAAAAGAGGTAAAAATATACGATTTATTACACAATCTGTTCAATCTTTATTTTAAAACATTACTTTTTTTTTATCATCTTAAGAAGGTAATTTATACCCTAATACAGTTTAATGTAAACTATTAAATCGATCTATGCGATATTTTGTCACCAGAAAAATAAAAAAATAAACTGTTTTAAGATTCAGCAGCTACAGAACCTATTACAGACAACGTGGACACTTCAACTGTTTTTGAATCTAAACCAATTACAACTGAACCTACCACATCAACTGTAAATCTCCCTACAATAACTACGGAAACTGGACCTTCAACAACAATCCTCAAATATCCAACTATTACTGAATCAGTTACTGCAACAACTACTAAATCCACAACAAGACCTGATCTTACTTCTGAGTATACAATAACAAGTATTGAATTTAACACAAAAATTGCTGAACCTACTTCATCAGATATTGAACCTACAATAACAATTTCTCAACCCATTAAAACGGAAATTATTTCTTCTAAAGGACCTACTGAATCTACTCCAACAAATATTCAGGCGACAGCTTCCACTTATCCTACAGTAACCACTGCGGAACAAAGTAAATTAACAGCACAACTAAGCACAGATTCTGATTACCCTACGCCAACATGTACTGAATTAACTGCTTCCATCACTAAATCTTCTGTGAAAACAACTGAATCCACTATAACAAGAGAAACTATCACAACTTTTGAACCTATCATAAAACCATTTACTGAATCCATGCTATCAACTTCCGAAAGTGATACAAGTGATACAATTATTTCTGCACTTACGACAATGCACACGGAAACTCTGACCACAACTTTTCGATCTACTGCTACAACAAGTTGTGAATTGTCTGCATCATTCACAGACCCTACTAAAATCAGTACTGAACTTAATATCTTCATTACTAAACTTTTCACAACAATTTATGATTTTATAACTTCTAAACATCTATCAACAATTCAACAACCAACAATACCTACTGAAACTATGAAAACAACCATTAAACCTTCAATAACAATTACTCAGATTCCCAAAACAACAATTTATCCTTTGATAACATCTTCGGAAACAAAGACAATAACAGAAACAACAACAAACCCAGAACTTTTAACTTTAATAACAAATATGTCCATAGCCGAACGTATAACATTAACTCGAACTATTTTAACTATTTCTGAATTAAGTACAACACCTATTGATCCTTCCTCCATAAGCATCACGAAACCTTTGACAACAACTACACAAGCTAGTACATTATCTGCAGAGCCTATTCCAACCACTGCTGAAATTACTTCATCAGTTTTTCTACTATTCGCAAGAACTAATGAACCTAGAATAACAACCATTAAAACCTCAAAAATAAGTAATAAATTTATTAAAACAACGATTGTCCATTCGATGAAAACTTCAGAATCTACAATAAGTGAAGCAACAACAAGATTCAATCCTTCAAACTCAGACACAAAACCTATCACATCCTCATTTGAAACTATAAGAGGTACTGAGCCTATTTCAGCTAGGTCTGATTTAAATACAAGACCAATTGATCCTCCCACAATGAGAATCGCCAACTCTATGACAACAGCTATGGGACATACCACAATTTCTGAATCTATTTTAAACACAACTGAAACAATTGCTATATTTTCTTTACTTTACACTGAACCTTTCTCAACAAATACAATATATAATATCACAACTAATATTGAAACGACGACATCAATACATGAACCTGCTATAAGCACTATTGAACCTACTACAAGTACAATGGATCCTTCAAGAGCAATTGTTGACATTCCAAGATTAACAACACAACTTGGTAAAGAAACTACACTTACTTACCATACAACAATTACTCCAACTACCATTGAATCTTCTATAAAAGTAACTGAATCTACGAAAACAATCACAGAACCTAACAGTTTTAAACTCTTTATGAGAACTACTGAAGTTATATATTCAGCGACTATTAAATCTACAGCATCGTCTACGTATGTATCAAAATCTAATACTACACTAACAATATTCCCCTCAGAACCTATAACAACACTTCTTCAACCTAGTACAACAACAACAGAATATACAAACAACTTTGATGCTATGACGCCAATATCTACTAAACACAAAACTGAAAGTACAACTGCTACTGATTCTCAAACAACAAATTCTGAATATAGTATATTAACAACACAACTTGGCACAGAAACTATTTACTCTAGCATGACAAATACTGAATATTCTACAACTACCATCGAGTCTTCTAACAGAATAAGTGAATCTACTACAACAACCCTAGGTCCTGGCACAACAAGTGTTGAACCCTACACGGAAAGTACCGATTTTATACCTTCAACGGCTGTTCAATCTTCCGCATCAATTAGTTTTATTTCTACAACCATTATTCCACTTTCAGTAATGCCCTCAGAACCTATGACAACTCATCAACCTACTACAAAAAATAATGAATTATCTACACCAACCAGCAAACCAAAAAGTACCATTGCTGATTTTAATCCTATATCTTCTAAATTTATTACAACAAATCCTGAATCCACAACATCTCAAAAACGTACAGCTACTACTGAATCAGTAACAACAACCATTGAACCTTCTATAAAAATTTCTCAGTCAAATGAATCAACAATTGTCCCTTCGATAAGAACTTCGGAACCTTCAATATCAATATATGAATCATCAATGCATTCTGAATCTGCAACATCAAATGCAAAATTTACTACAACCGCAGCTGAACCCTTAACAACTACTCAACCTACGTTAGCTACTTCTGAACTAAAATTAACACCTTCAGAACTTTCGACCATAAGCATCACAAACCCTATGGCAACAGCTATAGGATATACTACGACACCTATCGAACCTCTTGCAGCCACCACTGAAACTACTCTGTCAATTCTATCGATTGATGTTCTTTCAACAAAAGCAATTGAATCTATTTCAACAACACCTGACGACCCCAGTACAACAACTAAGGAATATAATACCATAACCAATATGGAACCAACGATAATACCTGCACTTACTAAAAGCACTATTGAGACTACTATCACTTCTTCCAATCCTACAATTACCACAGTTTCACAGACTAGATTAACAATACAACTTGGCACAGAAACTACTTACCCTAGAACAACAACAACTGAACTTAGCACAACTACAATTGAACCTTCTACAACTACAATTATTGAATCTCTTTCACCAATTACGGATCTTATCAAAACATATTTCGAACCCCCAATCAGAACTTCAGATGTTATTCCTCCAACAACGATTGAATCTACAGCAACAATTACTAATGTTTCTACAACCACGGTATTGACAATATTGCCCTCAGAACCTTTGACAACAACTCTTCAACGAACCACAAGTAGTAATAAATTGTTAACAACATTCACAGAGTTTATTGCAACCATAACGGAGCCTTCTACGTCATCTGCAAAGCTTATTTCAACATTTAATGTGTTTACAACAAATAATCAACAAGCAACATCTCAACAACCAATAATCATTACTGAACCCGTTACAACAACCATTGAAAGTTTTAAAATCAATAATCAGTTTGATGAAACAATTGTTCATTCGATTACAACATCTGAGCTTGCAACATCTATAATTGAAGACACAACAAGCTTTGAACCTAAAATATCAACTACGAAAGCAACTGCATCTACAGCTGAATCTTTAATAACTCTTGAACATATCTCAGCTACTTCTGAACAAAGTTCAACACCGATTGAACCTTCCACTAGAAATTTCATTAAAGCTATGATAACAACCTCGGGATATATTACAAAAAATGCTGAATCTTTCTCAACCACTACTGACTCTACTACAACAGCTTATTTACTAACCACGGAAACAACTGAACCTATATCAACGACAATCAATCCTATTATTACAGCAAGTGAATATCCTTCCACAACTAATGTTGAAGCCACAACAATAATTTCCAAACTTCCAAAAAGCTTTATTGAATCAATTACAACTATTCCTTATCCTACAACAACCACTGCTGAGCATAGTAAATTAAAAACACAACTTGGCACAAATACTACTTACTCTACAAAAATTACTGAACATACCACAACTACCATCGAACCTTCTAACGGAATGAATAAGTTTACTACAACTCAAGGACCTGGCACAACAAGTGTTGAACCCAATACGAACAGTACAGATGTTATACTTTCAACGACTTTTGAATCTTTGGGATCAATTAGTTATGCTTCTAGAAACAGTATTGCAATTACAGCAATGCCCTCAGAACCTATGACAACTGATCAATCTGCTAGAACAAATAATGAATCATCTACACCAACCAGTAAACCAATTGGTACCATGACTGATTTTACTTCAATAACTGCTATATCTTTTACAGTGAGTCCTGAATCCACAATTACACCTCAACAACCAACAAGTACTTCTGTAATAATAACAACAACCATTGAACCTTCAATAACAATTTCTCAGTTAATTGGACCAACAAATGTACCTTCGATAAGAACTTCGGAATCTACAACATCAATATATGAATCATCAATACATTTTGAATCTGCAACATCAAATGCAAAATTTACTACAATCGCGGCTGAACCTTTTACAACTATTCAACCTACGTTAGCTACTTCTGAACTGAGATCAACGCTTTCAGAACTTTCCGCCTTAAGCATCAGAACTCCTATATATATGGCAACAACTTATGGATATACTACGATACCTTTCGAACCTATTTCAGCCACTACTGAAACTACTCTGTCAATTCTACCTCAGAATCTCAGAACTACTGTATCTACTGTCCATTCAACTAAACATACCACAGCCTCTACTGAAATTACATCAGTCTTAACACAAACTTCCACAGCGACTACTGGACCTTCAACGGATATAATTGAACAATGGTCAACTTTGAGACCTACCAAATCCTTTTTTAAAACTAATTTTTCTGTCAGGTCTACAAAATGCTTTGACAGTTTTCCATCGACAAGTGAACGTAACACACCTTCATCAAGATCTTCCATAATAGCTATTGATACTTTTAGAACATATAATGAACCTCCTACTAAAACTTCTGTGCTTCCAACATCTAGTATTGCAACCACTACTGAACCTACATCATCTACCTATGGACTAACGACTACCGCAAGCACTTTTGAAATTGTTACCACTAATGAAATTACCATAACAACTACTGAATCTACAACACTTCCTATAGAAATAACTGAACCCACAATCAAAATCAATATTACCTCTTCAAGGCCTACCACAGAAACAAATGAAACTATGATAACAACTGAACTGACTACACCGACTAGTAAAGACTTATCAACAGCTAATGTTGAAACAACAACACATTTGTTGTCTACAATAGACCATAATAAGTCTACTGCAAATACAAAAGAACATTTTTTAATCCTTACTGGTGTAAAAACCACCCCAGTGTCTCCTAAATCTGAAGGAAACCGAAATGGTGGAGTCTTTAATGGTATGTTTGATTTTCAATATCCTTCTAGGTTTTTCTTTTAGTCAAATGCTTGGGTATATTTTAAATAATGCTGCTGATAAAAGACAAGTGCTAGAAACTTGTAAATGTGTGTATTACTTTTGGATTTTTCTTCTGATTCGAATTTCTTTGCTAGAAAAAAATAAATGTAAAACAATTTAAAAATTTTGACATTGTATCAAGAATAAACTGTAAACAAGAATGTTTAAATATATTAAAATCACCTATAGAACATTACGCTGTCATTATCTCAATCTTGAAGTCTAACAATACAACTATTTACAAGAAACATACTGCACAGTGTATCAGTCGGTTCGATTCATTATAATCAAAGCTATCTTTTTGTTAAACGCTTACTAACTTAATTTTGTTTAAAACGCTAAGTACGAAGTTTATTAGATATGTAAAATAGTTTTCCATTTAATAAAAAATTCCAGTAAATAAGTTAAGAAATGAAAGATCGACGTATGTGGTCAACTTTATGCATATTTCCGTTATACATGTCTCTTTTTCTGAAAGTTTTATCCTAGGGTTAAAGAAGTACTGCATGACGTGTGTTGCCCCTTATCACTGATATATTCAGAGTCCAGAGCTTGTCTAGTTTTATTCCAAACAATTTGAACCAAGACCTTCGTGAAAATATCTAAGTTAAGCTTACGTACATAAGTGAACAGGTATACCGGATATCTATTGTGTTTTGCCCTTTATCACTGATATATTCAGAGTCCAGAGCTTGTCTAGTTTTATTCCAAACAATTTGAACCAAGACCTTCGTGAAAATATCTAAGTTAAGCTTACGTACATAAGTAAACAAGTATACCGGATATCTATTATGTTTTCTTTCTTCTGATCTCGGGGTCATGAAACATCTAAAGCTTAAGTCTAAATGTTTATAGCAATGAAATGTTTAAGAAGTCAAACAGTCCAAATTTAAAATGCTTTTCAACATTGCATCATAAAACTGCTATTGTATGCACAATAAGAGCTCGAGTTCATACATGTACGTAATAAACATCGCACAGATGATTGAAATCTTGACTTAAGCCTGTCTTTTTAATGATCTAGGGACAGACTTAGACTTTAGTCAAAATTTCAATCATACATAAAATGTTCTAAACTTAATTTACTTATGACAGAAGATTGATGATCCGAAATTGGAAATCATTTTCGTTTTGGACTGCTAAACTTTTAAATAATTTCAACGCCATATATATATATTTTTTTAATTATACTTAATATGATTCAAGATCCTGGGGCCAAGTCTCTCTTTTTTAGGTACAGAATGAAAGTACTTTATTTGTTACAATAACCACATACTATGTTATCTGTTCGGGTCATGTTTTAAAAGCATTTGCTTGCCCTCTCCCGACCCAGGGTAAAAAATTGGGTAGGTAGGTAGGGGATTTTTTTTTTTTTTTAAAATTCAGAAACACTTGTAAATATGTAGTAAAATAGTTACATGTATTAATGGGATGAGAATACTTTCGAATGAATGAAAAATAATAATTAGTTCCTGGAGGTTAAAAATAGTTTCGAGTCGGACCGTTTTAGTTACAGGTAGTCCGTCCGGAGAGGGCAAACAAACATTTTTTTAAAGATGACCTCGATGTTCAATTTATTTGGGACAATTTCATAACATTGGTCTTTACAGATGGAAGTGATGTGTATATATACACAGGAGTTGGAATTTCAGTTCCTTTCTTGTCCTTCTTTTGTTGTTTCATTTGCTTCTTTATCAAGAGAAGAAGACGCAGAAAAAATAAGGAGAAAGAGGTTTTACTAGATGGAAGCAGGTAGTTTTTTTTTACTTTTACTTCCCCCTAGTCACTTAATATCAAGAATTAGTGAAAATTTAAGTTGTTTTATGACATATTAAGTTGTCCCATATGGTGGGATTCATTTTTGTATGAATCCGATGTCAACTTCCTGTCTGTGCGTCTTTCTGTATAATATGCAACAAATTTTCGTAACAGTTTTTAGCAACTACTCTTTGCAGGTGCTTGAAATTTTAGCACACTCTTTGTTACTGCATGTCATATGTCGGGATTTATTTTTGTATGAATCCGATGTCAACTTCCTGTTTATCTGCCTGTCTGTCTGTACAATATGTAACAAATTTTGTTACAGTTTTTTCAGCCACTACTCATTGCAGATGCTTGAAATGTTAGAAAACTCTTTGTTTAGATATGCAAATTGGTGGGTTTCATTTTTGTACGAATCTGATGTCAACCTCCTGTTTGTCCCTGTGTTTGTCCGTAACTGAAATAATGTATATTCACGTCTGTGTGTGTATATTTACATCAGAGCGGGAGTATTAAACATTTTCGGAATCTAAGACACCTGAAAACGAACGACGTACAGCGGAACTGCAAACAATAGACGACTTGCAGGAACGTATTGAAATACGTTTTCAAACTTACTTACATGTAGTATGTACTGTACTGAGAACTTTCTCATCTTCTATATCTTTCAAAATTGAATGAGGATAAAATAATAAACAATATCGTAAATATAGAGATTTGTGGAAATAAAAAAAAATCGATTTTAGGGCATTTTACAAACAAAATAAATGCGTGAATTTATATATATATATATATATATATATATATATATATATATATATATATATATATATATATATATATATATATATATATATATATATATATATATATATATATATTTGTGTGTGTAAATGAACATTTTCAAAAAAGGTAGATGTGGTGAAAAAGAGAGACTTGTGTAAATGGAAACCGACCTTGTTCAGTCCAACGTTATGCAGTTGATAGAAAATTTCGATTTTTCTCAAGTGTACATGGAATATTGGGGAAAAAGTGATTTTTCAACATTTAATTCACATCGGCTCGGTTAAAATAAATTAAATATAGAAACCAGTCAAACATTTCTATTTGTTTAAAAAAAAAAAAGTGTTGAAAAATAGTTTTAGTATTGTATTATATATCTGGCTTGTTCAAGAACGAGGCGTTGAAAGCAAAACACTCGATCTGAAAGATAAAAAAGTGTATTGCTAGGCTGATTTAATTGAGTGATTTTAATTACTCGAAATGAAAAGAATCATGAAATATTTCTTCTCTTTTTTGAGATAGATAATATATATACGTGCAAAATATTGAATAACTTTAAGCATAATTAAGGCGATTTGTTGACTATGAACAGTTTTGTTGAATATGAACTATTATATTCATGTATATAAGACTGATAGTGTTCATGCAATTCCCTCGATAATTCAAATTGCATTATAATCATGGCAAAAGTCTAAATACAAATTCTTCATTGTAATACACCGATGCAAACTTAAAATAAATGCGTTTTGTATTAAAAAGTCTGTATTTCAAATCCCAGAATTTAAGAAGATTCCTGGATCCAGTGGAAGACACAAAGCGGCCCCAGATTTTAGATATTTGCCTAACAAGAAGCACACTTGGCTTTTCCAATGAGAATGTAAAATTCAGTTACTTTTTAAAAGAAAAAGTATTGTAAAATAGTTTTTAATTGGGTGTTATTCAAAGCTCTTTGCTTTGGTTTGTAAATGTTATTTTCTATTCACTCTTTCCTTTCAAGTATATCTGGATCCGCCTATGATATGTGGGGTATGAAAAAAGTTGTAGGTGATATGTATGTGGCATGGGGTAATGTTTTCTTTTTCCCCTAGACCAGGTATTTTTTCTTTAAATCAACAAAACATTTTTTCTAAGAGTATGCCACTTACTGCTTAGACAAAATTTTATTCTTTTTTATTACAAATTGTGCAGTCAGTAAGATTTTAGTCTTTTTTTAGTCCTAGACCTTGACCCACGGGTTTGATGGGAAAGGATGGTATATTAAAATTTATAAAATCGAACAATCTCTTAGGAAGAGAGCGCTACATTATTATTATAATTATCGGACAAGTGCCCCCCCCCCCCCCCACACACACACACTTCCTAAATGTGTTCACATTGTATAGTGGATTTAATCATACAAATATAAACGAAACGTAATTATCTATAATCAAGACTTCAAAAAAAAATATTCATTTTATCTAAATAATGTTTTTTACACTAAACCGAAAGTCCGAAGTCTGCTGTCGGGAATCTTGGATTCCAAAAATGTTTATTACTAGTGAGCAGTGGCTCACAAACTTCTTGTTTAAATAACTTCATGAAATACTTGTAGTTTTATTTGTAAAAATTCTTTATATTTGTTTGTAGAAATACCTTGCATCCGAATCAATGTTTAGTCTGTATCTGAATATTTGAGGTTCTTCCATAGACCTTAGTTCAAATTTTCTTATCATTTCTTTTTCCAAATACTACTCCTGCTTCAGATTTGGTCTGATTTCAATATAACTTGCATACAAGTAGACTACACTAGACTACATTAAGATACATAATTCTATTTATTGCCGCATGTTTCAAAGTTTTAAATCCAAGTGCTTCTTTTCCTTTGTTATTCGTACAGATCATTTGAGCTACAGTCTCACCAGAGACTTCTGGTTAATTGCTTTCACTGCTGAATTCTTAAAACATTATTCAATGATATCCTATGTTTGTAGGGATAAACAAGTTATAAAGTTTATACATTCAATTTTGGACAAATTTGTAAGAGGGTAAGGTTTCATCTGTCTGTTCCTTAGTGCCTCTGCGTACTTTATCAAACAAGAGGCCCATGGGCCACAATGCTCAACTGATTTACTATTGCCCTTTTAGTTCTTCGTAAGAAGATTCTTTTTCCTATATATTCCTATGTAAAACTTTGATCGCCAATTGTACCCCTACCCAACCCCTACCGCGGGTGTAATGATTTAAATAAACTTAAATCTACATTACGTTATGATACATCATTTTTTTAATATGACTATTTTTGGCTTTCCACTTCTTGACAAATTTTTTCCCCCTCTATATACCTATGTAAAACTAAGATTGCACATTTTGGCCCCACCCCATCTCAAAGGTCATGATTTGAACAAACTTCAATCTACACTAGCTGAGGATGCTTCCGTATAAATATGACTAATTATGAC